TCAGTCCTCTCTGCAATTCAGGATCTCCTGGGAGCACCCTGTCCTGTCACCACCCCCTCCACTCTCCCAGTCACACGTGCTCAACCTCCTCCCTTTCTTAGGTGATGGTTGGCATCAGGGTGACTCGGCTTTGCCCTGGACGCACTGACACACTCAGAGACACACAGATGGAGCGACGCCCTGGGAACACCTCAGTAGGAAGCTCCTGCTCCTTCTGCAGGTCACGACCAAGTGTCCCCTCTGTGCTCCCTGACTTCCCTGTGCTTTCATGTCTCCACTGCCCACAGAAAAGCCTCCTGTCCTTCTGAGTCACCATGCATTTGAAAACAGATTGCTCAAAGGTTTCTTTCGAGGAGACCACCTGTGACTGACCTGTCAGACATGTGTGTATGATACACAAGTGGGCACAGATGTGTCTGGTTACTGATGACCGCCCACCCTGATGGCCTCTGACTCAGGCTGGTGACAAGACAAGCAAGAGCTGGGGAAGCACCGTCCCAGCCAATGAACCAGCTGCAGAGGACAGACAGACAGACAGCCATCACAGGTGGACAACTGTGTGTCCCAGGCCCAGGCTTTGGTCCCAGCCTGGCCGACACTGCCCTGCAGGGCAACTGCAGCACACACAGAGTGTCACCCTGCAGGTGGGGGCCACTGGGGGCTCTAAGGTGTCGGAGTCTGCACAGGGCTCCCCTGAGTCTGGGTGCTGGGCCTCCCCCTGACTTTCGGTGCAGAGAGGAGGCGGCCGTGCAGCACTGTGGGTTCACTGCTGGCACAGAAGTACACAGATGTCTGGGAGGGGGTGGCCGACTCCAGCGTGAGGGGGAAGTTCTTTTTATCTGGTCTAGAGACGCTGTACCCATCGGGGACATCTCCTTTCTCGATGATCCCAGCACCCACTGAGTAATGGAGCAGCCTCAGCCCGTGACCCAGGTCCTGTCGGTACCAGTACATAGCGTTGTGGTTCAAGTCCTGGGCACACCTCAAGGTCACTGCCTGTCCTGTTGTCACCACCTGGAATGTCGGGGACTGAGTGACGCCGGCCATCCCCAGACCTGCGGGGAGGACAGGGGAACAGATGCTGCAGCCTCCAGGGAGCGGCTCGCTGCTGGGCCTGGGCACTGTCCCCACAGAGGGGCCCAGCCCAGGACCCACCTGCACGGAGGACACACAAGGCCACACAGCACAGGAGGCCGCCGCTCATGGCAGCAGCCAGGCCGACTCAGGGTCCCTCTGGGTCTGTGGGAGGCTGGGCAGGAGCAGGGCTGTCCAGGGAGTCTCTCTGAGGTGTCACTCCCGCTGCCTGGGCCACAGAGCCAGCTGGTCACACGGGGACACGCCCCTTCCCCAGAGCGTCAGATCAGAAGCAGACGGGCAGGGGCACAGCTCAGAGGGAGAAGAACGCGTGTGGCTGAGCTGCCAGGAGTCCCAGAGTCGCCCTCCCCCTCTGTGCACACAGTGTGTGACTCAGGGCTGCTTCCTCCTGCCCGCAGACCTTCATGCCGCCCTGGTCTGCTGTGAGTACACGTCCCTGTGCTCTTGCACCTGAGGGCAACCCCTGAGGGCGTTCTGATGCCTTTAGGGCTCTGGGGCCCAAGTCGTCCCTCAGCCTCCTGTTTACTTTGCTGGTCGTCCAGCATCCGCTCACTGTCCCTCCTCCCACAGGGGCCCTCCTGGTCTCTGGTGGCCAAACCTCAGGGGCAGGCTTGTCACCACTTGAGGATCCTTTGACTCTGTTTCCTCTCCATCCCCCGACAGATGGGACCCCTGCCATGTGCTCCCCAGTACTTTCACAGTCACCTGAGAACGTGCTTCCCATGGTCGGGGTGAGGCAGCGGCCAGCACATCCAGTCCAGGGGGACACCTCCCTCTCTGTGGGGTGCTCAGCTCTGCAGGTGCTCTGCTGGCCCCTCGGGTTACAGAGGGATGTGGGGAGAGGCGGCTGCCACCAAGGAGAGAGAGTGAAAAATGCTCTTTTTAAATTGAGGCATTGTTCCACAGGGAATGTCTCCATGTGAAGGGTTGCCGATATTAATTATAATAAAAATAACGGGTCTTTAAACACTTGCAACTAATCTACCCATAGTCCCATGCTTTGTTGGAACCCTAACTCCCTTCAAGACTCTGTGCAGGCCCAGGTGACAGGGACAGTGCAGGAAATTGTGCCTTCGTCAGTTGCTGGTTCAATCCCCAGACTAGGGCACATGCCTGGGTTGCAGGCGAGGTCCCCAGTAGGGGGCGCACAAGAGGCAACCACACAATGATGTTTCTCTCCTTCTTTCTCCCTCTCCTTCCTTCTAAAAATAAATAAATAAAATCTTAAAAAAAGAAAAAGAAAGAAATCGTGCCTTTTTTTGGTGTCATCATGAGGGATGCATGGATATTCGCTGCCTGAAGTGAAATGTTCCTTCAAGCTGTCAGGGAAGAGGTCGACAATCCCCGATGGCGTGTGACCCCCCAGGCCAGCTCACCTAAACCCGGAAAAGGGAAGCCAAGGTGGGCCCAGCGCTGGGAGTGGGGGAGGGGCAGTCGTGCACATCCGTATGTGTTGAGGAGCAGACCTGAACGAGTTCCTCCTCCTTGGGTTATGAAATCTGAGACCCAGGAACATGACTTCCCACCAGGTGTATAAACAGGACAATGACACCTAAGCTGCATGATGTCTGTGGGCATCCAATCCCACCCCATCGGGGAGCAGCAGACAGTGCCTGGGGAAGGTGAGCTGCTCTCTCAGCCTGAGCCTGTCTGGCTGGCAGCTGCCACTTCCTGAGTGGGGCGGAGTGTTTCTGTGCAGGGGGCTGCCGCTCCTGCAGGGCTGTGTCAGGGCTGCTGGCGCAGAGATACAGGCCCGAGTCGCTCAGCTCCAGCGAGCTCGCAGTCAGCTCAGAGCGGTAGCCATCCAGCGGCTTCACGGAGAACCGATCAGGCAGGTTCTCTTTTTCTCGCTCTTGCCCATTGTAGTACTCAACCAGGAAATCAGGGCCCTGACCCTGAACCTGTTTGTACCAATACACAGAGAGGTGTCCAGAGATGTAGGAACACTTCAGTGTCACTTGCTGTTTTCTTGCTTTCACCACGTGTTTTGGGGTCTGCGTGACTCCAGAGTCCACTGGGCCTGTTGGGAGGAGACACAGAGGAGCTGGGGGCAGAGCACAGGGAGCCTCCCGAGGCAGCCACCACCCCCAGGGTTGTGTGTCAGGGATGTGACTGCGTGTCCAGACTTACACACAGTGTCCAGGGCTCACCTGCTCCCAGGAGACAAAGGGCCACACAGCAGAGGAGCCTGGGGCCCATGGCAGCTTCCCAGGACCTTTCTCAGATCAGGGTGGGGTCCCCTGGGGTGAGCAGTCTACAGTTCTGTACTCCCTGTGTGCTGATAGGAGCATTTGCAATGATGTCACTGCTCTGATTCTGTCGCTCCTGTGATGGGACTCTCCAAGGAGGCTGCCCCCTGGTGCTGTGTACCCTTGGTGGAACCCAGGGTCCAGATTCTATTCACCACTCCCTGTGCTGCCCAGCCCCATGGCTGAGGGTTGCCTGCAGCTTCAGCACTGTCCCCAGGTGCCTACAATATCGTCCCTCCCTGGCCCTGCCTGAACTAATTACCAGCCCTTGATGCTGACCCCTATATACCTTCTCCTGTAGGCTCAGGGAGACCCCTTCTTGGTGTTTCCTGAGGTGCCGGCATGTCCACTCTTGCTGGCCAGGAGGAGCCTGTGCCAGCTGCACACATGTCAGGACCCCTCAGTGACTCTAGCTGCTTCCCCCTGCACACATGTGGGCCAGGGGTCCCTTAACTTTCCTCCTGTGGGCCACTCCTGGTCTCCCACAGTGCCTGGGGACTGTTAATTCTCTCTCTGCACCTGCCCCTGCCAGCAAGGCTGCCTTGACCAAATCTATCAACAGTGGCTCTTTTAACGTTTAGCGGGACCTCCCACCCATTCCACAGCTGTAGGGAGACTGCCCACAACTGAAACCTGCCTCAGCATCTGCCCTGTGTTGGGTCCCTGCCCAGGTCTTCTTAACCCTTTCCTGCTCTCCCAGACTCTCCCCAGAGCCCCCTTCCAGGTCAGTGGTGTCACAGCGCCATCTGGTGGCCAGTAACTGACATCTCATTTCTGTGTCTTCTCCCATGGCCCAAGGGATGCTGGGACTGTCTGCTTGGTGTACAGGCAGAAGATTCCAGAAGCACTATCCTTTAAATGGTCCTCAACATTCGGAACCGTAACCTCCTGATTGACAGCACAGGAATGAAGGATGATTTCAGGCTTCCTGATTTTCAAAGGTCTTTTCAAGATTTCTACCAGGTTTCTTTATTCTCTTTTTCAAAGAGCACCCTACCATTTTATCAGCTTTCATCCCCACCAAGTCCCGCCTGCTCTGTACCTGCATTCCACCAGGGCTCGTTGGAGGAAAGATGAAAGGAGTGAGTGGTTACCTGAGTCCAGACAGATGCGTCTTCTGTGAACATGACCCGGGCTAGTCAGTGACCCATACGTTCAGAGCGTGAAGGGAGCAGAGACCCACGTGAGTCTGCTGGGAATTCACAATACAGCAAAAGGCCCTGGGAGGACATTCATTCATAGGTGTTGTGGTAAGACTTTGTGTTTTCATAAGACTGTTGAGTGAATGGGTGGCAGAATGAATGAAGTACAAATGGCGGTCTCTTCCAGAAAGAGGGGACTTCTGACAGTCACTTCTCTCCATCCCTGTCACAGTGTAGGCTGCACCCAGGGTCGCAATACCAGAGAAGGTCTTAGGAGCATGTGCCATATTTGGGAAATGACCCCAGGAAGCAAAAATAAGGGAGCAGGGAGGAAGCAACAGGGAAGGAGAGACCAGTATGAGGTGGGGTGTTGCCTCTGTGCTGGGACATGGGGAGATGGACTTGTTAGCACCTGCTGAGAAGCACCCACGATGCCTCCCAATCTCTCCTCCTGAGCTCAGAGGCTAAAATGTTTGTCCCCTGCCCTGCCCATGGGCCCCAAACTCCAGGAGTGTTAGCACGTCTGCAGCTCTGGCTGCTCCAGGGTGCAGGCCTCCTGGGCTCCTGGGACAGAGAGGAGACCAGCGCAGACAGCAGAGGGACTCCCGCTGGACTGGGGCTGGGGTGCACTCAGTACCAGGAAAATGGACACGGTCTTGCAGGGAACTGCCCACTGCAGCTGAGGCTGAAAGCAGAGAGGGGCCAGGATGTGATGGGGGCACTGGAGGCCCCACCACGATGGCCTCTCTCTAAATGAAACTGTCCCTTCTGCTCTCCCTCTGCTGTGTGATTACCAAACGCCCTGGAACCACAACTTCTGGAAGCAACACACCTTCTTGTGTGTCAGACTTCACGTCAGACAGGAAGTGCTGTTGTGGGTCCCATATTCCATTTCCCCCAGAAGCAACTCTTTGTACTTAGCTCACTCCCCTAACAGATTGTCAGAGGTCACTGCTTGCATTTCAGAGGACCCTGTGCGGGAACGGAGGTGAGGCAGGGACAACGCACCTGTGCCTGCCTTGACCCTGCCCTGCACCCAGCAGTGATTGTGCTGGACGAGGGGTTTGTCACAGAGTTCATGGGCACCTACGAACATTTGAGTCCATATTGTTTTATTAAGCAATTTGTTTTGTTTGCTTGTGTGAAATCTGTGCCAGACATGCATTATGGGCCCCAGTGTATAAATGCACAAACTCAGACAAACGTCTTAGTCAGCAGCCCAAGGCAGGGCAGCCTGGGAAAAGACAGTTGGCCCAAGCTGCATCTCTTCCCTCTTCAGCCTGTCACTGTGCAGGTGGAAGCTGTTAAGCCAGTGAACTGTGTCAGAGCCAGCACGTCTGAGGGGGACCCTTGGGTCAGTGTCCCCATTTTGAAGGCGCCTCCCCTACCAATACGCAGAAGAGGGCAGTGACGTAGAGCAAGGCTGGCAGTCAGCACAGCCTGTGGTGCAGTCCGAGGTTAGATCTGCATCGCCTGCGCCTCCTTTGGCAAATCCTCTAACCTGTCAACCATCAGCGTTTTCACCTGGAGCGTGGGTTGCATGCCTACCTCACAGAAAAGGAGCAACAATGTGGACACATTTGTGGGGATTGACTCCGGTAGTGGGTGGCTGGCTAGGGGAAGGGGAGCAAAGGGGGCAACACTAAGAAGCATAAGAGCATAAACAATAAAATGCTGGGAAAATGGTAATAAATAATGTAACGGAATAAAATGCACTAACTGAGCAGAATTGAAGTCATCTGTGTCCCCCCATAGATTCCCCCGCACTCCGTGTATGGTTCCATCTTTCCTTCAACATCCCTGATGCTCAGCTGTTGTCTGCAGCTCCTCCCCTGGGCAGATGTAGCAATTTCAGATTTCCTGACCAGAAGTGCTAGAGCTAAGGATGGGCTGAGACCTCTCATCCTCCTCTACCCCTTGAAGTGTTTTAGAAACACGCATTCCCAGCATGAGCTCCCGGAATGCTCCTTGACATTCCTAGAGGACTTCTGTGTCCCTCCTAGAATCTCATGATACATAGGAAATCCCCCGGGTCACTTAGCTCCTCTCTTAGGGGGGTATCATGGCCTCGCTTGTCAGGAACTATGACAGGACAGACACATGTCCTCTGGCTTGAAGCTCTATATCCTAGCAATTGGCAGGCAATCAGCCGTGTACCCAAATCTGAGGGGTGACCTTCCATCCCAGCTCAGATGCTCTTGAAACAGGAGAGACTGTGCTCTGTTCTACCCCATGGACCAAGGCCCGGGCAGGACCATGGAATCCAGGGGCCTATCGACTTCAGAGGCGTGGAGATGGAGGATGGATGTGCATGGGACACTTGGAACGTCCAGGAGCTGCAGCTCTCTGTCTATGAAATGGTGCACTGAGCCCTCCCTGCTCTGTAAACTGGACAAATGATGTTCACCAGGACCATGCACGACAACACTCAGCATGGACCTCCACTCTGTCACAGAGGAGGGCTTCCTGCCATGTGATGGGAATTGCACGGAGCTGGCAGAGCTGAGAGAACATTCAGGAAGGCTCTGGCTGAGCTCAGCAGGGCAAGGGGTGTGGGAGAAAACAGCTAGGAGCATCTGTGAAACTCGGCCAAAGCCATTCCCTATACTTGAAACATCCTCAGCTAGAACAGAAAGCCATGGACCCTGCAGGGCTGTGTCTAAGCTGCAGGCCCAGAGGTCAAGGCCAAGTCTTCCAGCTGCAAGGTGCACATAGCCAGCTCAGAGCAGTAGTCACTGAACATTTTGCCTTTGAAGCATTCAGAGACATTTCCTTTCCCGGATTCCTGCTGTTCCTAGTAATGAATGAGGAACCCGGGTTCCTGGCCCCGATCCTGCTAGTACCAATACACACGGTTGTGTCCAGAGATGGGGTGGCATTTCAGAACAGCCTCCCCACCATGACCTTTGATGAGGTGTCTTGGGGACTGGGTGACTCCAGCCGCCACTGACCCTGTGGAGGAAGGAGACAGAGCTGAGACCAGTCCAGGAGGCAGATGGACACTCTAGGAACAGTCAAGGACGCTGGATTAGAGAGACGTCCCACCTGAGCTGAGACTCACCTGCACCCAGGAGACACAAGGCCACACAGCAGAGGAGCCAAGAGCCCCTGGAGGATTCCGGCAGCACAAGACTGACCATGTCCCTCTCGGGGATCTGGTCTTCGGGATGAGGTTTTGTCCTCCCGTTGCTCTGTTTGCAGAGCATGTCACTGTCTTATGTCACTGTCTGTGTAGGTCCCAAACACCCTGCACCCCCAAGCACAATCTTGGGGCACAGCATTCCCCCATTCTGCCCATCTTCCTATGAGAGGTGCAGCTGGCTGTACTGAGCTGGGTGCCCCAGGGTACAGGGCTGGTGACCAGCCCCATGGCTTCGGAGCAGGTGCTCCTCTCCCTACTCCTGGCTTGGGTTTTCCAGGCTTCTCACTGGAGCCCTATCACACTCTGGGACAAACATGGGCTTCAAGAGAGGACATAACTCCATGCAAGACCAAGTTCATGGCTCCCTGGTGTGACAGACAAATGCATATCCATTAATGTGAAAAGATGTGATCAGCAAACCTTTGATTCATCCAATAATTTCACTAATGCAGAATCCAAGCCAAGTCTCTGGGGTGAACCAAGCCCCTTCCCCCTCCCTCTCCAGCAGGGCACCATCTGCATCTCACTCCATGGACCCACAGCGCCTTCAAGTGGCCACTTGTGCAGCAGCGCTGTTGACACCTCCCTTGCAAGGAAGCCTGGGAACCATGAGCAGAGGGGAGCACAGAGGGGGTTTGTGAGCAGGGAGGCGGTGACAGTGCCACACTGTGGTTGCACTGCTGGCACAGAGGTACACGGCCGAGTCCCCAGGCTCTGCAGGCTGGATGGTCAGATTGGAGTAGGAGCCGTCAGGTCTCACAATGAAGAACCGATCCTTAGGCATCCCGGAGGTGTCCAGGGGTTCCTCGTTTTGAAAGTACACCAAGAACTTCGGGCCCTGCCCTGGCACGTGTTGGTACCAGTAAAGGCCAACATGGCCAGAAATAGGATCACACCGAAATGTCACATTCTGTCCCCTCTTGGTGACTATGTGACTGGGGGCCTGAAAAACTCCAGCCTCTGTGTGACCTAGAACACAGAAGTCGACAACAGAAGGAGGAAAACAACTGTAATCGTCAAACTCACACACACTGAAGCTACTTGATTTTCTGAGGACTCACCTGCCCCCAGCAGACAGAGGGTCACCCAGCAGAGGAGCCTGGTGCCCATGGCAGGGTCAGGTCAGGAGTGGGAGGTTCCCCAGGTCCGGTCCTTGTGAGCAGGAGCAGAGGAGGAGGGACATCCTTTGTCCCCACAGGGCGGCTGCCACAGTGACATCACTGTCTCTGTCAGTCCTCTCGACCTCAGGGACACGTGGTGTATATGAGAACACACTTGATTGACTGGCTTAAACATTAATAAGCTCCTTTTTGAACAAAATCCATGCACGACTGTCGCTTTGGGGTCCCCCGCTGTCTAGTTGCAGGGTTCTCACATGGCATCTCACTCACCTGTCACCCTGGTCGGCCAGCATGTTCACTAGGACATGTCAACGGTGTCATCAATATAATACAGAGAAGGGTCATTTTATTGTCTTCTCTGCAATTTGGGGTCTCCTTGGAGCACACTGTTCTGTCACCTTACCCTCCACTGTCCCAGTCAGACATGCTCAATCCTCCCCATTTCTTAAGTGAGGGCGGGCGTCCGGTCAACTCGGCTGTGCCCTGGACGCACTGACACGCTCAGAGACGCACAGACGGAGCGATGCCCTGGGAACATCCAAGTAGGAAGCTCCCAGTCCTCCCGCAGGTCATGACTGAGGGTCCTCTCTGTGCTCATTGACTTCCACGCAGTATTGTGTCCACACAGCCCGCAATAAAGCCTTTCGTCCTTGTAAGTCACCATGCACTTAAAAGCTGGGTTCGTACAGCTGCGTCACGGGAGAAGCCTCAATTTCCCTGACCAGTGACACACCTGTGTGTGGTATGCAGGGCGGTCTAGGTGCATCTGATTGGCTGATGACTTTCCACTTTGGGGGCATCAGACTCAGGCGGATGACAAGAAAGCTGGAGCTACGGAAGCACCGTCCCAGCTAACGGAGCAGCTGCAGAGCACAGACTGACAGACAGCCGCAGTGCAGACATGTGTGACCGAGGCCATGGATCGAGACCAGGCCTGGCAGACACTGCCCTGGAGGTGGACCCCAGCACACTCTGGGGATCCCCCTGCAGGCGGGGGTCCCTGGGGGCCCTAAGGTGTAGGAACCTGCACAGGGGTCCCCTGAGTCAGGGTGTGGGCCCCCCCTCGGCCTTTCTGTGCAGAGAGCAGGTGGCTGTGCAGTGCTGTGCGCTCACTGCCTCACTGCTGGCGCAGATGTACATGGCCGTCTGGGCGGGGGTGGCCGCCTCCAGCATGAGAAGGAAGTCTTCTCGTTTTGATCTAGAGACACTGTACCCATCCGAAACCTCTCCTTTGCCAGAGGATCCGACGCCAACTGAGTAATGGATCAGCCTCAGCCCGTGACCCAGGTCCTGTCGGTACCAGTACATAGCGTTGTGGTTCAAGTCCTGGGAACACCTCAAGGTCACCGTGTGTCCTGTTGTCACAACCTGGAATGTCGGGGACTGAGTGACGCTGGCCATCCCCAGACCTGCGGGGAAGACAGGGGAACAGATGCTGCAGCCTCCAGGGAGCGGCTCAGTGCTGGGCCTGGGCACTGTCCCCACAGAGGGGCCCAGCCCAGGACCCACCTGCACGGAGGACACACAAGGCCACACAGCACAGGAGGCCGCCGCTCATGGCAGCAGCCGGGCTGACTCAGGGTCCCTCTGGGTCTGTGGGAGGCTGCACAGGAGCAGGGCTGTCCAGGGAGTCTCTCTGAGGTGTCACTCCCGCTGCCTGGGCCCCAGCGCCAGCTGGTCACACGGGGACACGCCCCTTCCCCAGAGCGTCAGATCAGAAGCAGACGGGCAGGGGCACAGCTCCGAGGGAGAAGAACGCGTGTGGCTGACCTGCCAGGAGTCCCAGAGTCGCCCTCCCCCTCTGTGCACACAGTGTGTGACTCAGGGCTGCTTCGTCCTGCCCGCAGACCTTCATGCTGCCCTGGTCTGCTGTGAGTACACGTCCCTGTGCTCTTGCACCTGAGGGCAACCCCTGAGGGCGTTCTGATGCCTTTAGGGCTCTGGGGCCCAAGTCGTCCCTCAGCCTCCTGTTTACTTTGCTGGTCGTCCAGCATCCGCTCACTGTCCCTCCTCCCACAGGGGCCCTCCTGGTCTCTGGTGGCCAAACCTCAGGGGCAGGCTTGTCACCACTTGAGGATCCTTTGACTCTGTTTCCTCTCCATCCCCTGACAAACGGGGCCCCTGCCACGTGCTCCCCAGTACTTTCAGAGTCACCTGAGAACGTCCTCCTGTGTATGGGGTGAGGCAGCAGCCGACACTTCCAGCTCAGCCCTTGGGAACTAGAGTTCTGTGGGGTGCTCAGCTCTGCAGGTGCCCTGCTGGCCCCTCGGGTTACAGAGGGATGTGGGGAGAGGCGGCTGCCACCAAGGAGAGAGAGTGTAAATGCTCTTTTTAAATTGAGACATTATTCCATGGGGAATATCTCTCTGTGAGGGATTCCTGACATTAATTATAATAAATATAACGAGTCTTTAAATACCTGTAGCTAATCTCCCCACAGTCCCATGCTTTGCAGGAACCCTAAGTTCCTTCAGGGCTCTGTGCAGGCCCAGGTGACGGGGACAGTGCAGGAAATTGTGCCTTGCTCAGTCGCTGGTTCAATTCCCAGACTAGGGCACATGCCTGGGTTGCAGGTGAGGTCTCCAGTAGGGGGCGCACAAGAGGCAACTATGCAATGGTGTTTCTCTCCTCTTTCTCCCTCTCCTCCCCTCTAAAAATAAATAAATAAAATCTTTAAAAAAAAAGAAAAGAAAAGAAATTGTGCCTTTCTTTGCTGTCATCATGAGGGATGGATGGATATTCGCTGCGTTGAAGTGAAATGTTCCTTGAAGCTGTCAGGGAAGAGGTCGACAATCCCAGGTGGTACATGATCTCCCCAGGCCCGCTCACCTAAACCCAGAAATGGGGAGTCAGTGTGGGCATGGGGCTGGGAGAGGTGGAGGGGAAGAATCCACAGGTGTTGAGGAGCAGACTTGAGTGATTGCTTGCTCCTCAGGTTGTGAAATGTGAGACCCAGGAACATTATTCCTCGTCACATGTATAAACAGAAACAAGGATACTTAAGCTGCACGATGTCTGTGAGCACTAAATCCTACCCCATCTGTAAGCAGCAGAATGGTGCCAGGGAAAGACCCTAGCCTGTCTGGCTGGCAGCTGCCACTTCCTGAGTGGGGCGGAGTGTTTTTGTGCAGGGGGCTGCCGCTCCTGCAGGGCTGTGTCAGGGCTGCTGGCGCAGAGATACAGGCCCGAGTCGCTCAGCTCCAGCGAGCTCGCGGTCAGCTCCGAGCGGTAGTCGCTGAAATGCTTCACCGAGAATCGATCTGGCAATTTGCCTTTTTCTCGTTCTTGCCCATTGTAGTACTCAACGAGGAACACGGGTCCCTGGCCCCAGGCCTGTTGGTACCAAAACATGTAGCGGTGTCCAGAGATGTAGGAACACTTCAGTGTCACTTGCTGTTTTCTTGCTGCGATCAGGTGTTTTGGGGTCTGCGTGACTCCGGAGTCCACTGGGCCTGTTGGGAGGAGACACAGAGGAGCTGGGGGCAGAGCCCAGGGAGCCTCCCGAGGCAGCCACCACCCCAGGCTTGTGTGTCAGGGATGTGACTGCGTGTCCAGACTTACACACAGTGTCCAGGGCTCACCTGCTCCCAGGAGACAAAGGGCCACACAGCAGAGGAGCCTGGGGCCCATGGCAGCTTCCCAGGACCTCTCCCAGCTCAGGGTGGGGTCCCCTGGGGTAAGGCGTCTACAGTTCTGTACTCCCTGTGTCCTGATAGGAGCATTTGCTATGACGTCACTGCTCTGATGTTGCAGTTGCTCTAATGAAACTCTCCAAGGAGGCTGCCCCCTGGTGCTCTGAACCTCTGGCGTGACCCAGGGTTGGGATTCTATACATCGCTCCCTGTGCTGTACATCCCCACAACTAAGGGTTGGCTGCGGCTTCAGCGCTGTCCCCACCTTCCCACAGTATTGTCCCTGCCCACCTGACACTATCTACCCAGCTTTTGCCACCCCAACCCCCACATCCCGCCTTCCCCTGCAGACGCAGGGAGTCACCTCCTTGGTGCCTCCTGAGATGCAGGCACGTCCCCTTCTTCCTGGGCAGGAGGAGCCTGTGCCAGCTCCATGCGTCTCAGGACCCCTCAGTGACTCACGCTGCTTCCGCTGCAAACACATGGGTCGGAGGTCCCTTAACTGTCCTCTCCTGGGCCTCTCCCTCAGCCCCTCCCAGTGGTGCTGGCAGTCCTGTGGGTCCACAGCGCCTCCCAGGGGCAACGGCCTACATCTCCGGGATTCACATCTATCTACATTAAGAGCCAGAATTTGGCCCCGCCCTTGCCCCTGCAGCCCCCACCCCCTCCCCCTCCCACTGGCCAACTCCACTGTTTCCCCAGCCTGGCTGACACACGGTTGATCCTCACATACAGTCCTCATTTTGAAGCCAAGATTGTATGAACCAACATTTCAATTAGGAGAAAATGATTTTGCACCATGGCAGTCAATGTCCAACGACAGAAGAGACGGCCAGAATTACACGGGCCCAAACAGTAAACAGCCTGCGGGTCCCAAGTGGATCTTGCCTGGAAATGCTCCATTCCCTCGCTCCTCCTGGTAATCACATCCATGTGTTTGCAAATATGTAGTTAGATACTCTGGTTTCTCCTTAGGTCATATTAATCTTTCCCCCTTTACCAAATATGTAGTTAGAATAATTATTAGCACCCATTACATAGTGCACTTTTAAAACTATTTTTAGAGGAAAAGGGAGGGAGAAAGAGAGGAAGAAAAACATCAATATGTGGTTGCCTCTGGCACGCCCCCTACTGGGGACCTGGCCCACAACCTAGGCATGTGCCCTGACTGGGAATTATACCAGTGACCCTTTACTTCACAGGCAGGCACTCAATCCACTGAGCCACACCAGCCAGGGCACATAGTGTGTTTTTACAAAGACAGTTTAAATATTTTAGCTGTTCATTTCTGAGACCATACACCTTGCATACACCACCCTGTGAGCTCTAGCTAGGTGAGACCCAGTGGGGCCAACACATGCTGTCCTTACCCAGAGTGTCCCTGAGCCCTGCTCAGTGATGCCACCCCTTAAATAAATGCCCATGGAGAGAAAATGCTGCCACTCAGTGT